ACTGTCATCCACCCATCATCCAACTGTCATCAACCATCATCCAACTGTCATCAACCATCATCCAACTGTCATCCAACTGTCATCCATCATCCAACTGTCATCCATCCATCATCCAACTGTCATCAACCATCATCCAACTGTCATCCACCCATCATCCAACTGTCATCCACCCATCATCCAACTGTCATCCATCCATCCATCCTCTGCTGCTTGTCCATTGGGTTGCAGAAGCAACAGGTTTGTTCTCAAACCAACAGGACCAATTTAAATCAGATAGAGAGTATTAAATAAAACCTTACCATGTTTGTGTCACATTGTGTGAGGACTGCATTCTTTAAGTCCAGCAGATGTTCAGATGTTAGTTTGCTTGCCTTCTTTTTCTCTAGAAGCTCAAATGCTCTAAGTTTTAGCTCCACTGTCTTTTTTAAAGATATAAGTTTATGATATTCTTTGTCAATCTCAGTTTGGTTTGGATCCAGTAAACAGAAGTTCTGAAGCCTCTTCTGAGTCCTGGACAGGAATGACTGAGTGGCTTTTCTTTCTGATTCAAGATCCAGGTCTTTGAGCATGTTCCACTCAATGAGACTGAGGTTGTTGAGGAGCATCAGCTCTAATGTTTGGAGGTTGTCTTCAGTTTGTTTCAGCCTCTGGTGTTCAGCTGCCAGCTGGGAGGGATAAAGGTCTGCAGAAATAATCTGGAGTTTGGATCCAACCTGTCTACAGAATTCTTTCATCAAAGGAACCTGAACCAGGAGGGTCTGACACATCTTGTACCTGTCCTCCAGGTTTCTGGTCTCATCTTTAGTCTGGTGAACTTGCTCCTGAATATTCTCTCTGAGGATGTCCACAGATTGCCTCATGTCCTGAAAACTCTCATGATCCCTGACTTTTATTTCCAGGGTAAAGATTTTATTCTGAAGGTCAGAAATAGCAGACTTGATCTCATTGGTCTTTTCCTGGGGGATCCATGGTTTCAGAAGGTCAACCTGAGACTTATGTTCCAAAATCTGTTGTTTAAAAGTTCCTAAAGCTTGGAGGCACTCTCTGGTGATGGGGAACCTGTATCTACCCAGTTCTACAGAGATTTGCCTCAGGCTTTGTTCAACAACCAACAACATTTTCCTTCTTGAATCTGTGGTCTTCATGAGTTCTTCCAGTTCCTCCTTTTCAGTCTTCTCCCTTCTGCTGATGGCTCTGATATCCTCTTGGAGGTTCCTGATTGTGTCAAACAGCTGAGATGTTTCTGTGATGCTGAGTTCAGATCTGATGTCTTTACTCTTCATTAACAGTGCCTCACACACCGCTGCCTGCCTCTCAGCTTCACACAGTGTTTCCTGAATGTGACGAACTCTGCGGTCCAGTTCAGATGGACTCAGGGGTTCACTGTCTGCTCGTCTCGAAGCCTCTGACTGTAGATGAGCCAGAATCCAGGAGTCCAGGTCAGCAATCTGCTCAGACAGCTTCTCTCTGGTCTGGAGACCAGACTCCACTTCTTTCATGGCCTTGGACAGCTTCTCAGTGGTGGACTTGGAAAGTTCTTCAAGGCATTCCAGAGAAGTGTGGATGACTGGTACCTCCTGAGCCTGGTCCAGCAGTGGTAGGAGCTCTGTCACCTCCTCTACCAGAGACTCCAGCTGACCCTGTTTGGCCATGACCTCAAACTGCAGCTTCTTCAGATCCCTGAGCTGCCGGTGAACCTCTTCTGGAAGAAGAGGCACCCTCCTCCTCTTGGCCTCAATGTCCTTCTCCATTTGTTTGGCTGTTGCCAGGGCGTCCTTCATCACAGTGATGATCTTCTCCATCACAGGGTTGCTGCTGGTTTTAGTCTGGGAGGACAGGAGTTCCTCTACGTGGCTCAGTTTTTTTCTGATCTCCTGGAGCCTGAAGTGCATTTTCTCTGATTCTTCTTTCCATCTGCAGCAGAGGAGCAACTCTTCTGACACCTGCTGTAAATATTGGTACTGTTGTTGGACTGCTTTAAGTTCAGCGTTTACCTCCATCAGCTGCTGCGCCTCCTTGTAACTCCACTGAGCACCTAAGGGAGCTTTGGCTTCAAGGTCTTTCCTGAGATTTTCCAGGTGTTCCTGTAAGCTGGTGAGATCTGACAGAAGGGTGCTGCTGTGGTCAGAAAAGATGTTTGTGTGATGAACAGAGCTCTGAACAGTCCTTTCTAATAAGCTCCACTTCTCCTGGAGGTTCTTCAGCTCAGTCTGGGCAGTTTCTCTGTCTGAGGGGCAGAGGATGAGACACATGCTGGTATGAATCAGAAGCAACTCTCCAAGTATCGTCCTGTTCTCCTCCAAACTTCTCTGTAAGGAGGTCAGCCGACTGGCCTCTGATTGACTGCTGTTCTCTGGAGACCTAAGAAAGAAACCATCAGTTTATCCATCAGGTCTTCTTTTTATGGTGACTGAAGCAGACTGAGGTGACTCACTTGTTCACTGCATCCAGCTCTGCTGTCAGCTGATCCAGCTTGCTCTTTGCTCTTTGGGTTTGTGCGCAAAAATCAGACACCAGTTGCAGCTGGGTTTCTTTACTCTGGATCACAGCAGCTGCATCCTGAACCACAGCGCTCCACTGGTCCCCCAGAGGATCCAGAACATCCTTGTTTGCAGCATCAGCTTCTCTTAGCTGAGAGACCACCGACACCTGAAGCTGTGCAACATCTTTACACTCCTGCACTCAAAGAAACATTTATTCAAAGCTTGGATTTCTAATGCACATAAGACAGGGTTCTTATAAGCTGTGCATGCTGCTTGTGGCAAATATTTACTATTCTAAGGATACCTTGGTGTAATGATGCCTTTAAATACACTATCTGATAAAAGTTCCTGTAAGAGCCCAAGATCTCACCTGAGCAGCCTCCACTTGCTGAGTCATGGCTGACAGGCTGAGCTCAGCAGGACTGTTCTTGATGCTCAGAACCTTTGAAAGTACTCTGCTGAGCAGAAAGTTCAAATCCCTGCTGGATGTGAGGAGAACCTCTGGAGCATCTTCCTGTGGTGTACTCTGGGAACAAAAGAGGAGCCGTAATCAGAATCAGTTTTATTGCCATTGTCAGTGAATCCACAGACTAGGAACTTGCAGTTAAGAACACCCATTCTTATGTAATGTTGATATTTAGTTCATGAGTTTATACGAAAGAACAATCTAACCTGCTTGTTCATTTAGTTAAACTAATATTAGTTATTTTAAAAACTTAAACCTGATTTGAACAGAAGCGCATTTTCAAATTTCTCCAGCCTGGAGTCTGGGTTATTTAGAAACCATCTGAAATCAAAGCTCTGAATGTCCAACAACCACATCAGGAGAATAAAACTGGCTCCAGACTGCTGATCAACATTCTAAAATCTGTTGTCTTTGTTTGAGCTGCTCAGAGGTTGACCCAACGAGTCAACCTGCACGAAGGATTTGGCAGCTGTTTTATGACAGAAGCTGGTACTTTTTGCTGAATTCTAATTATGTGAATCAAACCAACACTAGAACTGAGATTAATGTTACCTGAGTGATCTGACTGATGGCTCCTGTTCTAGAGAGGAACAGGATTTCTGTGAACATGTTGTCCATGGCAGTTCCTTCTGGTTCCTCCAAGACTGGTTCTTCCAGGATTGGGTCTTTCAGGACTGGTTCCTCCGGGACTGGTTCCTTCAAGACTGGTTCCTTCAGGACTGGGTCTTTCAGGACTGGTTCCTTCAGGACTGGTTCCTTCAGGACTGGGTCTTTCAGGACTGGGTCTTTCAGGACTGGTTCCTTCAAGACTGGTTCCTTCAAGACTGGTTCCTTCAAGACTGGTTCCTTCAAGACTGGTTCCTTCAGGACTGGTTCCTTCAAGACTGGTTCCTTCAGGACTGGTTCCTTCAGGACTGGTTCCTTCAGGACTGGGTCTTTCAGGACTGATTCCTCCAGGACTGGTTCCTCCAGGACTGGGTCTTTCAAGACTGGGTCTTTCAGGACTGGTTCCTTCAGGACTGGTTCCTTCAGGACTGGTAAACTCCCATGCTGAAGAATTCTGTGGAGTGGGATCTCTTCACGTTCCTCAGTTATCAACCTGTGCTCTTCTCCTACACCAGCCATGCCCTCCTCTATCTGGACTTTAAGAACCAAAGTGGGTTCAGTAAGGAACCAGTCAGGCTGAACTTCAGCTGCAGTTACATCTTCTCTGTCTTTCAGTGCAGCAGATCGGACCTCCACCTCTGTTCTCTCTTCAACTGAAGTTTTATCTGAGATCTTTGATGCATGGTCCAGTTGGTCTAGTGAAGGTCCAGACTGTTTAACATCAGAGTCTTTAACTCCCTCACAGGGTTCCAGTGTGAGCTTGTAGGGTTCTAGCTGAGGATCAGTTTGACTCATTTCCTCTCTGCTCTTTTCAGATGAACTCACTTTAACTGGCTCTTGGTGTTCCAGTTCTTTAACATTTCCTTCCTCCACAGAGGTCAGATGGGTTTCTTCTGTCACCTTGCCACTCTGGAAACTTGTTTCTGACCCAGATGTGATTTGTTTTTCTGATGTACCGGGGTGTTTAATGGAAACTCGCTCTCCTCTCAGGATGGTTTTAACTGCAGTAAACTGCTCATCAAGGTTTCTGGATACATCTTCTGGTTTGTCTTGAGTTGTTTTCAACGTATCTGGACTTGTCACTTTTGAAGTTTCTTGCTCACTTGTTTCTCCAGATGTTGTCCCTGCATCACTTGATGGGACTTCTTCAGAACCAGGAGACACATGCTGACTGGAGTCACTCTGAAGATGGTCTTCTTCCCATACAGAGCTGAGATGTTGCCCCTCCCCTCCTCTTCTCATTGCCTCCTCCTTTGGATGAACGTCAGCAGCAGTCTTATATTTGTCTTCAGGCACTCCTTCATGCTGGGTCCTTGTCGGAGTTAGATCTTCTCCTGGTTCTTGTATGACACAAAGGTTTTGGGGTCCCTCAGGGCAGGTCAGTATATCTACTCGTAAAACAGGACCTTCATGCTCCAAATGGATTTTCTCTGCCTCAAAAGGTTTTTCTTCCAAATCATTCCCTCCATGTTTAATCATTACAGGAGGTTCTTCACTCTGTTCCTGTCGTTCCTGTGCAGTCCCTAAGACCACAGTCTTTGTTCCACTTGGACTTGCATCCTGCTCATACAAGCTGATTTCCATGAATGTAGACTGGTTAGGTTGTATTGACTCATAAACTGGAGAGGTGGGATGTTGAGCTGCAGTCTCAGCCCTGTCTGAAAACCATTTCTCTGACATAATAACAGYTGTAGTTTTTCTGGATGAACTGTTGATAACATGAGTCAGCAGAGCAGAAGGTTCATCTGGTCTAACGTGTTTGCTGGCATTTGTAGACTCAAGCACAGACTCGGTTTTGCTTGGTTTTACTGGATCTTGTTCAAAAAGGCTTATCTCTATAAATTCTGTCTTGTCTTGGGTCAGTTCATTAGAGGCATGAAGGTTGAGCTGAACAGAGTCTGTCGAAGGAATGTTGTCTTGAACTGCAGTAGTGGTCTGCTGGACTTTTCCAATCTGGATCACAGTTTCCATCCTTGGCTCATCACTTGCAACAGATGTGTCCTCCTCCTTTGGACTGGTAGATATATCCAGTTGTAGTATGCATTCTGTAGGTTCTTCCTGAATAACTCTCAGGGCTTCTTGTGCATCAGGTTTTAAAGCTGCATCTTCCTTCTGAGTATCACTATCTTTGGCTTCTTCAGGGTTTTCCTGAGGTGATTCTTGTTCGGACAGCTGACTCTTGGTTCCACCTGGTGTAGCTTTTTCAGCTTCAGAGAAATGTGTTCCTGTCCTTTCCTCATGAGACAAAACAGCAGCTGAAGGTGAAGTGAAATCACTGGTTGTCACAGTTTCTTGGTCTGCATGATCTAGCTCTGTCTTGTATGTCTGAAGGATTCCTGAGTCAGATGCATCAATGATCAAATATCTTGTCTCGTTCTCTTTAGTATTTGTCCATAGCTTGTCAATATAATCTGCTATATTCAGTGTATCTGTAGAATCAAAAGAGAGAGGAAGTTGTGTTTTAGAGTTGGCTCTAGAACGTGTTTCTGACATTTGGGCAGTGGTTTGCTTTTTAACACTGGACTCAGGGACCTGAAGGTCAAGGTCTGCTGTTTTAGGTGGTGTTATTGAGGTGGGTAGACCTTCTGACTCAAGTTCTTCTGTATGAGAAGAATGAGAAATCAAAGTGCAACTTTCAGCATCATAGTGATGAGCATGTGTAATATGATCAAACACTTCACATGTATCAAGAATTACTGTGACCACTTTCTTTTCCTGGAGATCCTGATCTTCAGCGACCTGAATTTGAGTCCTCCCTTCTGTTTGAGTCTCCACATCTGCATTATCAGAGTTTTCACTCAGGACTTCTGAAGTAGTAGCAGATTTCCTTTCCTTTAATTGTTTGGTCTCAACACAGGTTTCTCTTTCAGTGGTGGAGACGGTGTCTGTAGCTGCAGAAGACTTCACATTAATCATCTCTCTTCTACTTTCTGTCATTTTAGATATGTTCAAATCAGCAACTTCAGTTTTCTCTGTGAAAGGCAAAGATGAACTCTCACACTTAATGTCAACAAATTCCAGGGGAAGTTTTGGTCTTTCTGACATTCCTATGGATTGGGAAAGCTCAACTGGTTTAACAACAGTTTCAATTTTTCCTTTGCCCTCCTGGGTTTTCACAGCTGGTTTTCCAGTCTGAGGTTCTTTTCCAGTTTCTTCACACGCACCGAGAGTATACATCTTCCTGCTGGCTGGTGTTGGTTCAGTTATTGCAGAAGCGGTAACTATTGGTTGATCTCTTGACCCAATGATTGTAGTTTCAAATTTGGTTTCAGACAAAAACATGGCATCTGTGGAAAGTTTCAGATCTTCTGACAGTTTGTGGCCTGGTGACAGCTCTATGTTTTCCACATCAGATACTTCAGTTGTTGGGACCACCTGTAAAGATGCAGGAAGCTTCTGACTATCAGAACCTGTTAGCTCAGTTTTCACTGAACCAGTACCTTCAGTTTTGTGACTTCTTGAAAGTGTCGTTGCTTGTGTTTTCTCCTTGTAAGAAAGTTCTTGAGAAGTCAGGTTTCCTGATGCAGGGAGCAAGAAATTCTTATCTTCCTGAACAGTAGATGGTGTAACTGGATGTTCCGTTGAAGAAACTCCTACACTTTTAGGTTCTTTTATTGTTTCCTGAGAGTTCAGCTCATCGGACCAGACAGTGAGTGTATCTGGCTTTAATGACAGAGAAACATCACAACTGTTTGACTCTCTCTTAGTTAATGTGATCTTTGTTTCTGATTTTTCTGTAGATGTGACTCCACTAGTTTCTAAGATTTCATCAGTCCCAGTTTTGGTAAATGTTTCTTGCAAAGTTTTCTTGCCTATTGACTTTCTTTTGGCTGGTGAAACTTTTCCTTTTTCCAAACTGGTACTTTCTGTTGCTCCTGTGAAATCATGACCAACAGATTCTTTCCTAATTTGTTTCTGTTCCAGATCAATACGTGTAGCAGAGGACTTCAGACATTCAGGTTTATCACTCAGCTGAGGTTCTACAGTAAAACTGGGACAAATGTTTGTTCTGGACTTTTTCCTTTGTGGTGGAATAGTATGTTTTTCAGGTTTTTGTTGGGTTTTCTCCTCACCAGCAATTTGACTTGTTGAAGTAGCAACTTCTGGAGCTGTGGAAACCTCAGGACCCATTGACTTCTTCATAGTTGGTATAACTCTAGTTTGATCCAGAACTACTGCTGATTGCTCTTCAGAACCTTGAACAGATGTTTTGCTTTGTGTCAGTTTTGTAAATTCCATATGACTACGTTTGGTTTGCTCAATAAAACTCTGAGCTTCTCCTTTTGTTTCTGCAGCTGGTTGTTTGAGTTCCTCCTTTACTTGTGCAGCTGGTTGTTTGAGTTCCTCCTTTACTTGTGCAGCTGGTTGATTGAGTTCCTCCTTTACTTGTGCAGCTGGTTGATTGAGTTCCTCCTTTACTTGTGCAGCTGGTTGATTGAGTTCCTCAGTTGTTTGTGCAGCTGGTTGTTTGAGTTCCTCCTTTGTTTGTTCAGCTGGTTGTTTGAGTTCCTCCTTCGTTTGTTCAGCTGGTTGTTTGAGTTCCTCTGTTTGTACAGCTGGTTGTTTGAGTTCCTCCTTTATTTCTGCAGCTGGTTGTTTGAGTTCCTGTTTTATTTGTTCAGCTGGTTGTTTGAGTTCCTCCTTTCTTTGTTCAGCTGGTTGTTTGAGTTCCTCCTTTGTTTGTGCAGCTGTTTGTTTGAGTTCCTCCTTTGTTTGTGCTGCTGGTTGTTTGGGTTCCTCAGTTGTTTGTGGAGCTGTTTGTTTGAGTTCCTCCTTTGTTTGTGCAGCTGGTTGTTTGAGTTCCTCAGTTGTTTGTGGAGCTGTTTGTTTGAGTTCCTCCTTTGTTTCTGCAGCTGGTTGTTTGAGTTCCTCTTTTGTTTGTTCAGCTGGTTGTTTGAGTTCCTCCTTTGTTTGTGCAGCTGGTTGTTTGAGTTCCTCCTTTGTTTGTGCAGCTGGTTGTTTGAGATCCTCCTTTGTTTGTGCAGCTGGTTGTTTGGGTTCTTTTGTTTGTTCAGCTGGTTGTTTGGGTTCTTTTGTTTGTGCAGCTGGTTGTTTGAGATCCTCCTTTGTTTGTTCAGCTGGTTGTTTGAGTTCGTCTTTTATTTGTGAAGCTGGTTGTTTGAGATCCACCTTTACTTGTGCAGCTGGTTGTTTGAGTTCCTCTTTTGTTTGTTCAGCTGGTTGTTTGAGTTCCTCCTTTGTTTGTGCAGCTGGTTGATTGAGTTCCTTCTTTACTTGTGTAGCTGGTTGTTTGAGTTCCTCTGTTTGTGCAGCTGGTTGTTTGAGATCAACCTTTGTTTGTGCAGCTGGTTGTTTGAGTTCCTCTGTTTGTTCAGCTGGTTGTTTGGGTTTTTTTGTTTGTTCAACTGTTTGTTTGAGTTCCTCCTTTACTTGTGCAGCTGGTTGTTTGAGTTCCTCTGTTTGTGCAGCTGGTTGTTTGAGTTCCTCAGTTGTTTGTGCAGCTGGTTGTTTGAGTTCCTCTTTTATTTGTGCAGCTGGTTGTTTGAGTTCCTCTTTTATTTGTGCAGCTGGTTGTTTGAGTTCCTCTTTTATTTGTGCAACTGGTTGTTTGAGTTCCTCCTTTATTTCTGCAACTGGTTGTTTGAGTTCCTCCTTCGTTTGTTCAGCTGGTTGTTTGAGTTCCTCCTTTACGTGAGCAGCTGGTTGTTTGAGTTCCTCCTTTGTTTGTGCAGCTGGTTGTTTGAGTTCCTCTTTTATTTGTGCAGCTGGTTGTTTGAGTTCATCCTTTATTTGTGCAGCTGGTTGTTTGAGTTCCTCTTTTATTTGTGCAACTGGTTGTTTGAGTTCCTCTTTTATTTGTGCAACTTGTTGTTTGAGTTCCTCCTTTATTTCTGCAACTGGTTGTTTGAGTTCCTCCTTCGTTTGTTCAGCTGGTTGTTTGAGTTCCTCCTTTACGTGA